TAGATAAAGTAGAAAAAACTGGTAAGAAATTTAAAGTTCGATATCCAATACTTGATTTTTCAGGTATACATGAACATTGTTCGCACTTGTCAATTTTTTTGCACTAGCACTTACACCTGCTTCCTTTTTTCTACTTTATATCTATTTTTAGGTGGCAACTTTTTTTTTGGTAAATATCTATAAAAGGTTACACCTCACCGATTTTACCGTTACTTAAATATGTTGTAGGGGAGGTCGTTCTAAGTAATTCTACGTAAGAAAAAAGTGGGGGACGGTATTAGTTTAGTAGAAAATACAACAAATTGAAGTTTGACATTAAAATTTGTATATTCTATAATGTTTTTTTTTTTCAGTACTAAGGGAAGTAATTTGCTGATATGTGTGTAGACAGTACATATGTGAGCGAGGGAGAGGCTATCGCCCCGCAAGCAGGGGTGGGTGTGGTGGACCTCGGTTCGCGTGAAAAGTCATGGATATTTTGTCAACAATCGAATTAACGATTTATTATTACCGTTAACGAGGCTGAGAAATTCGTATAGTTGCATGGTGAAATCTTCTAACAAATTGTGCAAAATCGATTAATTCAATTGTTAACAAAATACCCATGACTTTCCACGCAAACCGAGGTCCACCCCCACCACCCCTGTTTGCGAGGGAGGGGCTACCGCCCCTTCCCCGCCTACATGTGTACTATCTATACACACATATCAACAAATTACTTCTCTTAGAATTAATGTGACTTTATAATATCTAAAAAAAGTATTAAAATTGTGAAACTTTAATTTGCAATTTCTTCTGAACTAATGTCGCCCCCCACTTTTTTCTTGCGTGTAATTACTCAGAAAGATCTCCTCTACAACATATTTAAGTAGCGATAAAATTGGTGAAGTGTAATTTTTTATGCATATTTTCCCTTTTTTTTTTAATGAATTTCCTAAATTTCCCGGATATATGATCGTCTCTGGAACTTTTTCTATCCTGCATTTTTTATCCTATATACTTTCCAATACTTTTTATGCTTTTTATACTTTACCAAAGAATACAATAGGGGTATTCAAATAAGTTAGAGTTTAACGGTTTGACAGGTTATGTCGGGTTAAAGTCGGGTAAAAAGTTAATTTTTACACTTTTAACCCAAAGATTAATGTGATAGGTTAATGAAACACTTATGTATTTTGCATAACCTTAAAGAGTAACGCGCCAAAAGTTAATTAATTAACTTTTTGCTCGACTTTAACCCGACATAACCTGTCAAACCGTTAAACTTTAACTTATTTGAATACCCCTAATATATCAAATACAAAACCGAAAGGACCGTCGGGTCGTGATCTGGTCGCGGTACTTGAACGGCGCGGCACGACGCTGGGGCAGTAGCGCACACCAATGTATCAGGGCTATAACTCGAAATTTTTACCTGAAATTTGCACCAAACATTTTTGACATATTAAACTTTATAAATATGTAAAAATCCAAAAATTGATTTGTTTGACCCTGCTAGGTGTATATGCCCTTTTAATACACATATATAATTGTTAACGCTGTAACATCCTGTTACGGCTTTATACTCCATTTATTTCAATTGGTTCTCGGGTAGATTTTTATCATTTTACTCTAGCCACCCTATACAACATAAATTAGGAACCATCTATATAACCTGGTAGACAGAACAATTATGTTGTCCCATCTTAGTTTTTACAGAAAAAACTTATTATAAATAATTTGCTTGAGAAATGATTATCCTATAGATATAATTTTTTTTCACACATATTAACCTCAGATTAAAGAAATTCGAAACACAATCTTTAAACAAAAACACAGAAGACGTCAAATCACAACAAAAAGAGAGATTCAACGTTCTCCTATATCTTAAATCTGCCTCTGAAATAATCACGTCGGTGATAAATCTAATATTTAGATAAATCTAATATATTTATAGAGTACCGGATTCTAAACAAACTCAGCAGTATCATTAGGGTTCAATAGGAGGTCCTTCTTCTCAAATAACAATGTAATTTATAAGATCTGTTGCAAAAACTAATGCCTTTTATGTTGGCCAGACAAAAAAACAGCTTCAAACCAAACTAAAAGAACATAAGTACGACATACGTGTATAACAGTTTACCTGGTTGTACATGTGATAAGTTGGTAGCTAAAGAAAATATTATATACAACTTTGTTATCCGAATTTATTTCAATTCAGCAGCTGTTAAACAGCTTATCTTTGTCCTTGATTAGGCAAATTCAATTTGACATATATATGGGTTATCAAGAGACGTGGTCTCTTGATTGAAACAGAATTATGATAATAAAAGTATTGATTATTTATAAGTGTTATTTATTATTTATTATTTTTATTATTTTTTACGATTTATGTTTGTTTCAATAAATAATACTTGGCTAACTAATTTAATTTCATATCTATTTTTAATTAATTTATTTTTTATTTAATGACATACGCTTTTAAATACTTGTTACGTATTTGGCGTAATTTTTTCTTACTTTGTAAGATTTTTTATGAGATTGTTATAATATTATATTAAATGTTTAAAATTTATTTTTATACATCAAAACTCTTACAAAATTTGTATTTAGCTATGCTATTTTTTTTGTTGCCTTTTTTACCTTTTTTTGAAAAAGTAATTTAATATTTGAACAATTAGTGAGGTATAATAATCATGTCTTTATTTGATTAAATAACTTGTGAGAGATAGATTCGCCGTTAGTGCGTCGCTCGTCCGTATGTTGGCGCAACACGAACGCTCTTTTTCAATAAGAGTGTGAGGATTTTCATGATTCATTCAGTTCGTTATTCAAATCTCTCTTGGAGCAATTGAATTTTTAAATTAATATTTATTTGTCTTGCGAAAAGGTAAGTCAAATCAATCAAGACAAATCAATCAAGTACATATAATTTAGAAAATGATTGGGACTGAAAAACAGCATTTTAAGAGGATATAAATTATAATTCAATGAATATAATAGAATGATTATAAATGCAGTTTATTTAAGAAACTACTTCCACTAATCATTTTAAAGATTTTTTATGAGGTTTACAAATTTCATTATATTTTTCCTGCACAAAATATACGTATATGCATTTCTACCATCTTCTGGCTAATTGCATTATTTTATTTCTAAATCATTTATTAATAACCATTTTATATCTTTAGAAAAAGTATTATGTTTGTACAATGTCTATTAGTTATATTTCCTCTACATTGTAAAAATTTGCAGTAATAACTTGATATACGTATATTATATATTATATATGTAATTATATACGTATATTGATATACGTATATTATATATTATATATGTATATATTATCACATATATTAATATATACCCAACGTAAAGACATCTTTCAGACGCGCATGTTGTCTGGGTATATTTTGTCTTTGATTCCACTCATAATTTTATTTTATTTTCGATCAAAACAAACGATAAACTGTAATTAACAGTGCCTTCTATTGCTTGTATTGATTTTATAATCAATACAATTTATGTCATGTACAATTCATATGATTCTATTCATGATTGTGAATGAGTGTGTGCTTAAGTGAGTATGTACATGTTCGTCTCTCTCTCTCTCTCTCTCTCTCTCTCTCTCTCTCTCTCTCTCTCTCCCCCTTTCTCCCTCTCCCCCCCCCTCTCTCTCCCCCTTCTTTCCCCCTCTTCTTCTCACCCTTTTTTATCCTCTTTCTTTGTTTGTCCTTTTGTGTTCTTTTGTTTATCTGCTGTTTTGTGTACATAAAAAATTATTGCGCGTAAATATGTGTATAAATATTCCTTCATATAATTTTAATAATATTGTATATAGACATTGCGTAAGCCTCTTAAGAAACAAAATCGCTGATTATGCGTACGTGTGATTGAAACTGAAACTAGAACGCAAAAGATGTCACGTCTTACGTAATAGATCTTAACATCTCAGAATTGACTACATTGCAGTTTACATTGATTTTTTCAGACTGGTCGCAATCGAAAGCTTTTATCGATATTATATAAGAAAATAATATAATTCACAAGAGTTATTATGAAGCAAAATATATTGTTCGATGACTAAAAATGTCAGTACTTATTTATTTTATGAAAAAAATGTTAAAGTATTTATTCTGAATTTGAGAAAAGTATTATTATGTGCTTTAAAAAATATTATTTCATTGCAATAAATAAGAAAATATAAAATACAATAGAATTTTTATTATTTTAGATATTTTAATTATTATTATTATTTTTTTTTAAACCGGAATTGTTATTTTGTTAGATGTACAGTTATTTTATTAAATTATTAGATGTATTAAGGCCACTTTGATCAAACTCCAATTAACGTAATCATTGATTAAAAAGTTGCCAATATGACAAAATAATTAGTGTAACCATTTTGTATTTCTGGCGTTATAATCATCTTCTTTCGTTACATATCTTTCTTTTCTGCAATACACGAAAAGATATGTAATGAAAGATTGGGTTAGAACGATTATATCCGCATAAATGCTCATACTAATTATTTTGTCATGTTGGCGACCCTTAATCGTTGATTAAATCAATGATGAAGTTAATAGGAGTTTGGTCGAAGTGGCTCTCAGACATAGAAATAATGTAAAATAAAACGAAAATATTACGATATTTTTTCCTACTCACTTTACTCAAATAGTACATTTATTTAAATTAAAATATTTTATTCTTATTTTTTTGAAATTATGCAACGTTAATGTAAGCGTTTACAGGATAAACTTTTGAAAACTACTCACGTCCTATTTACGTAGGTATTCTTCGGTGAAAATATTTTGAATGACCTTAAAATGAATATATTATCCTTAAATGGATTTATACCGACAAAAGTTTAAAGTCATATAACAAAATGATTCAAAATTCTAAACTAATTAGCAATATTTAGCATAGGGTAGACCGGGGCACGTTGTCACACGGGGCACGTTGTCACATCGGCTTTATTTAAAAAACTAATAACCAGAGAGCAGTACCCGTCATTCTCAAACCGTGTTAGTGTATGCCCATCTTTGGTGTGTTTACAGTGTTGAGATTGCTCCAGTCGTGTCGACGTAAAATCAACTTGAAAGTTTTTTGCGACCGTAAGTAAAATTTTATTGTTTAATATTCAACGTACTGGACATGAAGCTTATGTTTTTTCAGAATAGACCTTTATATTATCTTAAAGTATGTACTTTTACCTACCGCGTGCAATACCTAACCTTATAAATATCTCAAACGTGTCGGCCATGAGGCTGTTTGAAGTAAAAAAATGCGCTCGGGGCACGTTGTCACGAATTTGATGGGAATCTATTGCGAATCTTCGGATGACGATAACGAGTAAAAATATTATATGTTTAATCACCGACATGATAATAAAAAAACATGTGTAACAATAAGTTGCGCATTCGAGTGGAATTCTTATATTTAGATTAAGACGAAAACTTCGTGCTTTTGTACTGTTTTGAAATAAAATAAATGATTCTGTGAAGGATTTTACTTTTTTACATTGCAGCGCACTATAATATATTGATATTTACGTTGAATACAGTTTGGATAACATTTTGCATGCGATTACATTTGATGTGACAACGTGTCCCGGACATGGGGTACGTTGTCACAAGCGACCTGTCGTTATTTATTGTTATGTAACAACTGTAGAGTAACAATCACACAAAATTCGATACTGTCCAATTGAAGCTGAGGGTTCACTCGAAATTTTGACATATCAAAGTCCAAAGTACTCTTAAATATTGAATGTAAAAAATACAAAAAATATTGAACCAAATGTGTGACAACGTGCCTCGGTCTACCCTATATGAAATAGATAATTATTGTTTACATGCTCTGATTTTTTTAGTAGGGTAGACCAAGGCGAATCGGATCAATCGGAGTTTTCGTTAGTGTTTTGTTTTAAACGAACTGCTTTATCGTGCTAATTACTAATTAGCACGATAAAACTGTTCATTAGTAAAAACAGTAAGGGAGAATATAACAAAGTTAAGAAGTCTCTGTCAAACAGGTTTGCCAATGCTCCCCCTGTACCGAAAATTCAGAATTCACACGCTTGTGTAGTGAATAAAAGTAAGCAATTATTAATTTTTAGGTACTCAACAGCGACAGAACCGATGACTACTGTGCAGTATTAGTATCTCCCGTAACAGACCGCCTTTTAGTATTTTTCTCGGTTCTTATACGTGGCCAATTACTTGCACGCATGCATGCACGTGCACACACACGCAGACGCACGCACGCACGCTCGCACGCACGTACGCACGCACGCACGCACGCGCGCACACACACACACACACACACACACACACACACACACACACACACAC